TTTGTGGGTGTGTGTTGGATCATATTGCCATTTCTTACTTAAAATTTATCAGTCGAAGTTAAAACGATTCGAGAAAGGTAGCGTCAACCCTTTTGATAAATTTACCAAATCATATTAGCATTTCATGTTACTCCTACTTGGCACGTATCCTCATGATGCAGAACCTGCGTGGTTGTTGATATAGGAGTTAAAGGAATTCCGGCTTTAGGAGAGATGAATCATATGATAATTCTATATCATATAAATATATATTCATACATACACACATACATAAATATGTGTGTGTGTGTGTGCGTGTGTTAGATTATCTGACCCTTGGAGTTATCCCTTTAAATTGAAAAGGTGTTGGGTTGACATTCCTGATTTGTTGGTCTGAAAAGAAGAATGGAAGCAACCTCCTGATATGACTGAAACTTCTCACATTTTAGCTACTCTTACCTGCCCGGAGGAAGCAATAGCTGTTCGGAGAGGAAATCCCTTCGCTTGTCGATTGTCCGTGACTCGTAATATCAACAAAGACGGCGAGTCGCATGCCACGTCCGCCAACCGTAAGCATACACAAATACTGATAGACATACATGCACGAACGTAAAGAAAGATACACAAACACACATACACGCATATGTGTGTACACACACACACACACACACACACACACACACACACACACACACACACACACACACACACACACACACACACACAACACACACTAATATATAATATAATATATATATATATATATATATATATATATATATATATATATTATTATATTATACACAGTGAACCCTCGTTTTTCGCGGGGTTACGTTCCAAAAAGAACCCCGTGATAGGCGAAATCCGTGAAGCAGTAACCTTTATTTTCTTTACAATTGTTATGCAATGAAATACTGTACGTACATGCCACCCGTCGGCTAGGGGTTAAATTTGGCAAACTGTTTTACGTACATGTACATATTAAACCGTAACGTTATTGACACACAGGTAGAGACTGTTTAGCCAATCAGAATGCAGAACACAGTGCACAATGCAAATCCGTGAAGCAGCAAGAATGTGTAAGGTGAACCGCGTTATAGCGAGGGTTCACTGTATTTATATATATATAAATATATATATATATATATATATATATATATATATATATATATATATATATATATAATATATATATATATAATATATATTATATATATAATATATATATATATATATATATATATAATATATATACTAATATATATAAATATATATATATATATATACATATATATGTGTATATATATTGTGTGTATACATACATATATACATAAATATACAACACACACACACACACACACACACACACACACACACACACCACACACACACACACACACACATATATATATATATATATTATATATATATATATATATATATATATATGTATATATATATGTATATATATATATACACACACAACACACACACATACACACACACACACACACACACACACACACACACACACACACACACACACACACACACACACACACACACACACACACACACACACACACACACACACACACACACACACACACACACACACACACACACACACACACACACACACACACACACACACACACACACACAACACACACATATATATATATATATATATATATATATATATATATTATATATATATATATATACATATATATATATATATATATATATATATATATATATATATATATATATATATATACATATATATATACATTCTCTAACGTAAGCGCACGCACACACACACACACATAAATATACGAACATGAGCCAGGATTAAAATTAACTTTCTATGATAATAAGTATGTAAACTTATATAAAGCATGGTGTCTGCAATAGATTCCAGCATTACTGAGGACAAGTAATCCAACTTCGAGATGACGTCATGAAAACGAAATACTTTGAGGATTCCCTTGTAGAGGTGACAAGTAGGTGGGTTAAGGGTTTAAGCAGATATTCAACATGTATGTGTAAATAAGCGAACGGTTACCGCGGAGACGAAGAGGGAAATATTGTTATAACAAAGGAAACGCAGCGACAATCATCATATTTCCATAGCATAAATGAAGGTCCAACTGGGAACGAAGTAATCAATAACAGGCATACAACATAATTCGCAAACAATGAATATGAATATTATACACGGTAACAATCGAACATAAATATAATTGAATAAAATTGCCCTGAGTTATTTGTTATAAAAATATAGTATACTAAATTGTACAACGAGAGGAGACAATAATGATAGATATGAAAAAATAATAATAACAACAATATGAAACCAATGAAAGAATGGTTAGGGCAGGGCAAATGAGGTGTGAAGTGAGGGTGTGTGGCTTCGTTAGTTTGTTGTGTAGTTTAAATAATGATTGACAAAGATAAATTTTCTAATGTAGAGTTGGTAGTGTTTGTTGAGGGAAAAAGCAACTCACATATAAGCTGCGGGCGGGTACAAGGAGGGCAATAGTTGATCTGGATCAAAAATGACACACTTAATACTAAAAGAATGGCGAGGAAGTATTGGTGGTGGCAGGTAGAACTATAATTGTCATGGCTGTCCTGACGATGGATCGCAAAGAATTGGCGAAGCACGTGGGATGGATTAGTAAGTGTGCTGGCAAAGAGTACAAAGATTTATTTTCAGTGACTTCGTTAGGAGAGTGGCACAGGCGTGAGTGGTCAGCACACTGTATTAGGGCAGACACGGTGTGTGTAGGCGTGGATCAGAAGAGGGCTTGGTAGCGATGGCTGGGTGTTAAGGGAGATGAGGAGGTACCTCTACAAAACTGGCATTTTGAGGTCCGAGCACCGCTTGACACCACATATGAATGAGAAAGGGTGGCTTTAGTGGAGGTGAATGAAAGCGGTCTTGGCTTGTGGGCTTATTACTGAAGGTAGAAGTGCAATCCCGAGAGAAACCGTCTCCCCAAGTTCCGAGGGCGGAGTGGTCACAGGCTAGAACACATATGTCGTTGTCTGACTACTATCTTTCTTTTTCCTTTGTCTTAAGTGATATGTCCTTTTATGCGGCGGTTCCTTTCATGGGCAAGTGCTTGCTTCCGCCCACTAGAGTGTCAGATTCATCCGACCGTGGTAAAGGGGGACGAGTTTGCAGGGATTGCTTGAGGGGAAGATGTAGGTCACCCAGAAGCCATTAACCTTAAGTCAACTAGGCTCAGGTGTGGAAGGTGTGAAGCAACTGCTGCCTCTATTGATGTAGACTGAGGACGACTTCGACAGGAAAGTACAGCCTTTGTTTCAGCCAGGGACTGATGTGTGGAACGGTATTGCTTACACTCAAATATGTGTTTGTGTGTGTGTGTGTGTGTGTGTGTACACACACACACACTATAGAAGGTTATGCACCTCCTGTATGGGTACTGGTGGGCAGAAGTGATACTAGTTCAAACGGCTTCACATTTATTACCAAAAGTGATCACACGAGTAGAATTAGAACACAATACGAGTCTTAGGCGGTAAGCATGCCTTGGCGAGGGCAGCCGCGCGTGGAGCTTAGCGTGAGCGTCCACTGACCTCTTATAGGGGCGGTCGCGACCTCTTATAGAGGCAGGTGGACAGAGCATGACGTGGGTACGCACGAGGCCACCCCCGCGGACATCACGTGGTGTGCACAGGGACCACGTGGTCTGTGAGAATGCATGACTATGCACTATGCTACACACACCCGCAGCGCGCACACACACACACACACACACACACACACACACACACACACACACACACACACACACACACACACACACACACACATATATATATATATATATATATATATATATATATATATGTATATATATGTATATATATATATATATATATATATATATATATATATATATATATATATATAATATATATATATATATATATATATATAATAATATATATAATATATATATAATATATTATAATCTATCTATCTATCTATCTATCTATCTATACATATATACAACCATATGTATAGATGTACACACACATTTAAATATGTATGCATGTATGTGTATGTAGCTGCAGAACCAAGACCCGCACTTATCTTTACTGGAATATTGCTCTCTTTTGCAAGGCAAGACTTCATGCGGCTTATCTTGCTATTCCCTACATGACTGCACCTTGAACATCGCTGTTTAAGCATCACATACTGTCTTTATTTGCTTTTTCCTTTCCCTTTTCCAAAGGTGATATCTCATGGCAATACATTTTGAGCTCTGAAACTCAAGAAACTCATTTCTTCTTCATTATTTTTTTTCTGTTTGTTTCTTATTCTTTTTCTTTAATTTATTTTTCTTTTCTTTTCTCTTTGTTTTGCTTTAACTTTTTATTTTTCTTTTCGTTCTTCCTATTCTCTCCTTTATAATTTTTTTTTCATTTTCTTGCTCTTTTACTCCTTCCCATTTTATCTACTTCTTGCTTTTTTATCTTCTTTTTCTCTTTTTTTTCTTCTTCATCATCATATTCGTCTTTACTCTTTCTTCCGTAGCGATGCTCAGTACGCCATACGTCGCATTTAGATAATGCTATGGGTTCATTCCTCACCAAGTATAACTAACAGTGTACGGTATATTACACCTTAGATATATGAAAAATAAAAGTTAAAAGGGGTGACATCTAATTATTGAATATTTCCTATATTATGGTAAAAACAGTTTCGGAATAATATATGGAATCATGCGCATGATCTTCAAAATACTAATCATGTATTTTCTCTCTCTCTCTTTCTATTTCTTCACTCTCCTCTCTTTCTCTCTTTCTATCTACTACCGATTTAACTATCCGTCTGTCCCTACATCTATATACCTATATAGCTACTTATCTATCTATTATCTCTATATGTTTGCCGGTCTATCTCTCTCTCTCTCCCAGTCTGACTGGTTGTCTGTCTCTCTATGAATGAGACTGATGCTGGCTTCTGATATCCGCAGATGTGAACGATGAGGGATCCCCTGCCCGCCTTCCTTCCCTCTCCGTCGACGAACCTGAGACACGCGCGTGAGACTGCGCTTCTCTGCTTCTTCCTCTTCCTCCTCCTCTGCTGTGTCCCTTCTTCCCCTGCTTCCTATGGAGGCAGGGAGCAGGGGAAAACACGGGGCACGGCGCGGTCCTTCGTACATGATCCTCCACAAGCCTTTGGTCCTTCGGCTAGCGGGAGGAGACCTGCAGCTCCTCCCGTCGGCGACAGTGTGTACATTGGTCCCCTGGAGGCCGGCGATGGCTCCCTCTGGGCAGATACGAACCGGAATCCGCCAGTGACATCCAGAGGGCAAGATCGGTTCGCTCGGTTTTCCCGAGGACATCGTATTTCACAGACTAAAGATGCTGAGCGCGTGGGAGAAAAGGATGCTCAGTACCTGCGGGTGGCTCGACACGACTACTCCATTAGGACCTCGGAAGGAGGAGTGAGAGATCAAGCGCAAAGGAGCGCGAGGAAAGGTCCCCTCGAGAGCTCCAGGAGACAGGAAGCTCCCTCTGAGGAGCTTAAGGGCCGGAGCGAGGCTAATCGACCCGAGACGGAGGAAGGAGGATTCGCCAGGGACAGCGAGCACGCGGAAGCTCAACGCAGTATCGACTTTCAATTATCTCAAACTCCTAAAACAGAGTTGGTCGACAGGCCCGGCACCTTCCACCGGGACTCGCTAAGGCCGCTGGATGCCACAGACACTCGAGCTTTCGGCGTGCCAGACGCGCCGACGGCGGCGCCGCCGGGAGGGCCAGAGCTGTGGCACCCTCCGCCCCTGAACCACGCGGATGTCTTCCCTCCCCTTCCGGGATATAATGAGTTTGGAGCCCCCTGGGGCGGCACAATGGAGGATTGGGGGCCTCATAAGCCGCTCCTCGGGCAGGGAGGTGTTATGGAAGAGGAGGAGGATGAGTTAGACAGCATCCTTTTCCACTGGCCTTTGGGGGGCAGCCAAGTGGCGCCCAACATCGTCCCCGGGATGAGCAGGTCAGTGCCATCGAGCATTCTTTGCCCCTTTGACCTTATTGGGATATTTCCATTCTCTCTCTCTCTCTCTCTCTCTCTCTCTCTCTCTCTCTCTCTCTCTCTCTCTCTCTCTCTCTCTCTCTCTCTCTCTCTCTCTCTCTCTCTCTTTCACTCACTCACTTGTCTATCTCTATAACATTTAGGGCATCGGTTTCCTGTTCCCTGTCTCATTCTCTTATAAATGATATGATCATTGTGGTTTCATTATCTGTAGCTGATTACAGGTGTATTTATTGTCATTACTCTCTAATACGAAGCGTTTTCTTCTGAATACCAATGGAGTAAAGGCTTTATCATAGATGTTATGGTAAGGAATCTAACAGTAACGACCATCAAATAAAAGAACAACAAATATGATCATGATACTACAAATAACCACAATGAAGGTGATGGTAGTAACAACAATGACATCATTATGATATTCAAGATACTAGAAATTATAATGTTTAATAGTTATAATTATAATATTGTTGCTGCAATTATTATTACTACTTCTGCTACTGCTACTGCTTCAGTAACTGCTGCTGCTGCTACTCACTACTAATGATGATAATGTTGGAGTAATTATGATAATACTAATGGTAATGATAGTACCAATGTTAATGATGATGATAAGAATGATAATAATAATAATAGCAATAGTGAAAATAAAAATAGTGATGATAAGAAGAAGAATGGTAATCATAACGATGATGATGGTAATAATAGAAATCATAATAATCAAAATAGAAAAATAATCACTATGATTATCAGTATTGGTATTATCATAAAAATGGTAATAATAATAACAATGACTAGAAGCACTCAGAGATCGCATACCTCCGATAAAGGCCCTGCCATTCAAGGCCCTGTCACACTAGCACTTTTTCCGTCAATTTTTTGCGTTTCCGAAGGAACTCTGTAAGAAAATCATGTAAACAAACATGGCGCTATCGGAGTGAGGTCCTGGGAATCGTACGAACGTTCTCATACATATTACGTTATTTTAAAGAAATATGATGATATATATTTATATACGAATGTTCTAAAATGTTAGCTTATGTTTACATTCACTCATCCTATCTAATTTATTAATAGCACAAGATCAACAGGGAAATTAGTCAGACGGAAACGGTCGTAACCGTCTTGGTCTGAGCAAGGTCTATATAAGTACTTATATAGACCTTGTAGACGTGTGTGTAGACGACCCTTGCGGAAAGCCTCAAATGCAGACGGAACCTCAGAAATTGACGGAAAAATTGTTATTGTTATTGGGCCTTCAAGGCCCTATCACATTACACTTATTCCGTCAATTTTTTCCGTTTCTGTCTGAATTTGAGGATTTCCGCACGCATCGCCTGCAAACAGAACACCTCGCAGACGACGACAGTTGCGGAAGTTTCCGTCTGACTAATTTCCGTCTTGATCTTGTGTTGTGAAGCATCTATACAGCTAGAATGTTTTTATTAATAAATTTGATAGAATGATTGAATGTAAACTTAAGCTAATATTATAAAACATTGGTATAAAAATATACATCATATTTATTTAAAATAACGTAATATGCATGAGAATGTACGTGTGATTCCCGGGACCTCGCTTCGTTAGCGCCATGTTTGTTTACATGGGCAATGCTTGCCGCCTTGGTAATGTGATAGGGTCAGTCGATTCGCATACGGAAAGTTCATTCAGAAACGCAAAAATTGACGGAAAAAGTGATAGCGCGATAGGGCCTTAAAGCAAGACGGTGGCTGATGCAATGCAAATATTCACACCAGAATTACATTAAAATCCCTTCTTCCCTTCGAGGACACTGGTGACGTCCGTGTTTCCCTAAGCCACACCTCCGGTAAAAAAAAATCATAAAAATCTGTTCATAACTTTTTATCATGTTAACCACAAAAACTAACCAACGCAGCCCAAAACATGACCTCTTTAGCGACGGTAAAAACAATGATTTAATGATTATAATAATTATAATGATGATGATAATGATGCTGATGACAATGATAATGATAATAATGATAATATGAATAATTACAAGCACTTACAGAGCACATGCCTCCGCCAATGCCATAGTCATTGATGCAATAGAAATAATCACGCTTAAAAATTTACATGAAATTCACTTCTTTCTCAAGTACATGAGTGACGCCTGCAAACATTTTTATTATTATTACCTCTATAAACAATGCAATAGAGGGAAAAATTCGGATCATGATTTTTCACGGCTGTAAAAAAAATAATAAAAATCTGTACATAACGTTTTGAGGTATTCTGTTGACGAATAAACAAACTTACCAATGCTACCAAAAACATAACCTCATTGGCGGAGATAATAATCATCATCCTAATAATGACATCAACAATAATAATAATTGATAAAAATGATAATGATAATGATGATAATGTCATCATAACAACAAATACAAATGATAGTAATTACAACGATGACAATAATAATGATTATAATAGTAATAATAATAGCAATAATAATGATAGTGAAAATTATAATAATAATAATTCATATGATGATGAGAACGATGATGGTAATAAAAGCAACCTCAACCACATTAATGTTAATAATAATAATAATAATGAGAATAATGATTATGGTGATATATTTAATAAAAAGAAGAATTACAATGAAAAAATAAATAATAATGATAATAATTGCAATTGCCAATAATAACATAACATTTTATATGCCAATAATGAAAATCAAAATTATTTTATGTTAATGATAATAGTCTTCCTTCTTCTTCAATTAGTACCGATACCTATTATGGCAATGATAGTAATGATAATATCAGTGATAATTATCAGGACGATAATAATATAGATAATAATATTGATAATAGTAATGATAAAAATAAATTTGATAATAATAATAACAATAACTTTGATGATAATCATAATACTGAAAATGATTTTAATTATAATTATATCAGTAATGATAATGGTAACATTAATGATAATAATAATAATGATAATGATAATATTAGTAATAAAAACAGCAACAATGATAATAATGGGATTAGTACCAATAATGTGAGAAACACCAACAATAAAATCCATGATATATAGTAAAGATAATATCAGTAATAATGATTATAAAAGTAATAACGGCTAAGATGGCAGTTGATATAATAACAAAAGGTCAGGCTATTCGGGCACCCGCCTTGCATCCTTCAGGATAATCCTGCCCACCAGCTTGTGATAGCTGTAGGAGATTGATCAGACCTTTTGTGAAGAGCTATAGACACGCCGAGGCCTTGCCCAGCGGCTCACCACGAGAGACCCTCGGAGGTGGAAACAAAGGGTGTCCCGCCGTCGGGATCAGCTCCCCAGTGATGATGAAAAGTAATGGTAATAGTGACAAAGATGATAATAATATTGATAATAATGATTATGAAAATCAAAGAAATACTATTAATTTATCATTATGATTAATAATGATAATGAAAACAAGAGTAATAACATATTATCATAAATGATGATAATAATGGAAAATAATGATAATGATTATTGCCTCAAAATGTGTTGTAGGAACTGTGAAACTTCAAAAAGAGAAAAGAGTACTCTTCTCTCCCTCTCTCACCCTCCTTCTATCTTTTGCCTACCCATTTTTCCTTCCCTCTCCCTCTCCCTCTACATTTCCTTTTCCCGCTCTTCCATCCCCTCCCACACAAATCTCTAAATTCACTCCGCCCCCATTTACTCAAGTACGAATTTGACCCTAAATATGAAGGGCCCTTGTGAGATGAAGTTGTGTGACGTGTAAATGTGTACTTGTTTTTAGACCAAATATAGATGTCAGTTTTCAATTTCCAAATTTCCTCTTCTTGTACTTTCTTCTCTGTCCCTCCCTTTCCCCTCCCCCTTCTCCTTTTCCTCTCTAAGTTTCTCCTGCTTCCCCATCTCCATTTTCTTTCTCAGCCCCTCCCCCTCTCTTCATCCGCCCTTTCTTCTTCTTCTCTCCTCTCTACCTCCTCACTTTCACTCCTTTCTTCTCCTTTTCTTCTCTCTTTCTCCTTCTCCCCTTTCTTCTCCTTCCTCTCTCCGCCTGCTCCCCCTCCCCTTACCTCCCTTTCTTCTCCTTCTTCTCTTCCCTTTGTTTTCCTTTTGTTCTTCTTCTTCTCTCCTCTCCTTCTCCTTCCTCTCTTCTCCTCCTCCCCCTCCCCTTATCTCCCTTTCTTTCTTCCTCCCCCCCCCCCACCGTCCTTCTTAAACTCGTCCTTCGGTTGGGCGAGTAAATAATAGATGTGGATAAACTGACGGTCCAACTACTTCAGCGCAGTGCAGTAATAATAATGATAATATTAGACTCATAAATTCGTAATGTGATGTGCGCGCGCGACTGTAGGGGGGGGGGGGGGCGTGTAGATTCTTAAATATTTATGTTGTCACTTGTCACCCCATTTTACACCAAAATGAACTGACTTTAAGTCGCAGCCAAATGGAATATTATTCCAGGCATAAAATGCCCATCAAAAGAAAGAATTGAAGTCTCCAGTCACGTGTAATATAATTTCACACATTAAATGGAACCGTAACTGACGGACAAGCAGAATTATGTAATGATATTGGTACTCAATAATTGATCCTTTCCATTGATTGTAATGCATAGTTTATATATAATTCAAATACTTAAATGGATGTAAAAATGATGATGAAAATAACGACTACAACAAAATAATTTTGTTCTCATTTTTTCTCTTGTTGACCCTGCTTTGGTTACTGATGTTATGAACATATAATTATTTCTAAGCGTAATAATTATTTCAGTAATTGCAATAAAATCAACTTACAAATCTTTACCAACACCGAGAGGTAACAGTAGTGGCGAAGGCGGTACAACTCACGGCGATGAGATGCGATATAGCAGATTGGACAATGTCACGTATGCTCACATTTTATACCTACTTACAACTAGCCATTATAAGACTTGTTGATAGTTTATTTGTCCATGTATACATTTATTGATTTACTTATTCTACCAAACCCAAATATTCCTCTGGTCGGTGCTGAAAATACCTGACGCGGGCCTCTTCCTCCCCCTTAGTGAATCCGGCTGCGGATGCTGGGACACGGACTCCAAGGAGCGGGAGGTGGAGTGCAGCTGCTGGGGCCCCTCGCTGCTGGAGGTCCCTTCCAACCTCTCCTCCGCCGTTAATATCATGTGAGTATCGAGGGCGGGCAAGTGTAGGGGAGGTTGCATGTATGTGGTGGGGAGGAGGAGGATGTGTGTGCTGTGATGGTGGAAGGCTGCTTGATGTGGGGAGTGAGAAGGGATGTTGAGAAATAGCGCGGAAGGAGGAAATGCGATGGGCAGCGAGGGAGGGTCCCTGCTGAGAGATTGTAAATGATCAAGTCCTACGTGTGAGGTGATGTATGGTGAGAGTGAAGAACATGCGAAGGTACGAGTTAAAACAAATAGGGGAGAGAGCCTATGGGATGCAGTTAATAACACAATAAAGACTAGGATAAAGGGGGAGGACAAGGACAATATGCGACGGACAGGGACAGTGCCCCCATCTTTCATTCGAATGCGGTGCGAACACAGCTTGGCAGTCTAGGGATTAAGTAAATTGCCGAGAACTGGAGAATATTACCAAGAAATGGCAGGGACGCAATCTACCTAAGTAAAAACGTAAATAGTGAGGGCAAGACTTCCATTATGAAAAATGCACAATAAAAAGAACATGGTCGGCTAAAATGAACTACGGAACACGGAGGGAAATACAGACATTGCTGTCGAAGTTGCCCTCCCGCTGGTGCCCCTGCTATGTCGGCCTTTTCCTTCGGGGAAGACTTAGCAATATTAAAATCCGCTGTCTGCAATGACGAGTGTCTCGGGGTTTTAAAGGGATATACCATGTCGAAAGAAATTATGATTGTATTTGTGTATGCGTTTTCATTTCGTCCCCGCGCTGCCTCCTCTATTTTCCTGATGTCTCTTTCATTCGCTCGGTATACATTAAAACATACATTCAGTGATTAATTAAACTGTGAGTGAGTGAGTGAGTATGTGTGTGTGTGTGTGTGTGTGTGTGTGTGTGTGGTGTGTGTCTGTGTGTGTGTGTGTATGTATATATACGTATATATGTATATATATATATATATATATATTATATATATATATATATATATATATATATGTTATACATATATGTTACATAGCACATATGTATATATATATATATATATATATATATATATATATATATATATATATATATATATATATATATATAATAATATATATATATATACATATATAATATATATAATACACACAACACACACACATACACACACACACACAACAACACACACACACACACACACACACACACACACACACACACACACACACACACACACACACACACACACACACACACACACACACACACACACACACACACACACACACACACAACACACCACACACACA